GTGTCTGAAAAGAGAATCAGACCCTGCCTGTTCAATGCAGACTTTCAAAAAATTCAATTACATGGGTTTGGTCAAAGTTAGCATGCGAGAATATTTTTAAAAGCAAAGTGATTCTTTACCTTGAAATCTATAGAAGTCCATACACAAAAAACAGACCAACATCACCATAGGTATCTCGATGCCCAAATAAACACAAGTGGAGGGAATTCTAGCATCTGCAAACCGTTAATTCACCCTTTTCTTCTTTTTTTGTAGGCTTGCCAAATTCAATCTCCCGGTCGCCAACTTCTTGGTCTGCTGAGACAACTGGAGAACTGCATCAGTGATGTCAGCAGCACCACTAATCAGTGCTGGACCAGGATGTCTCACCCTGGGGAGAAAGTCTCTTTATATCCCAGCCCACAAGTGTGCTATTATTTTTTTTTTTCCCCTCCCTCCTCCTCCATTCTGCTGAGGATCCAAGAGGAAGAATAGAAATGGCAAAGAGCTGCATAACTTGTGGAAGGAGGAGGACCGTACTTCCGATGTGAGGCTGTTCATTCCCAAATGGCAAAACAGTGGGTGTAACTTTGAGCCCAGTCTGTACACAATACTGCACAAACGGGGAGTGCAAAACAGCCATTTGCATATTCAACATCTGTAAATCCCCAGTCCTCAGCATGCAGCTGGATCTCAGCCTCAAGGCATTTCCTCTCTGAAAAAAACACTTTCAAGTATCATATGTGAACCTGGATGCCAGATCTCGTGGCAGGTGCTAATAGCTTTCACAAAGGCCCTCTCAGTGGTTCATGTTCAAGCTGTGTGTAGTATCTATGGCTTTGTTTCCCTTCCCAAACTACCGAAGGCAACTATGGTTTCCAGTAACAAAGGCTCCCACCTCCTGCCATCTTTCCTCCCATCCAAATTCAACAGCCATCTTCCATCTCAGTTATGGTCTCCATCTTTATTTAAATAAATAAACAAACAAAAAGGTAAACATTCAAGACAGTTACATCACCAGTAGCTGTCTTCACAGATTCTCTACAGTTTATGGAGAAAATTAAGCACATTTCAGTGGTGAATCAGACCAAATATGACCTCAGCCACCTTGGAAATATCTGTCACTCTCAACTATAGAAAGTGATGGGTGAATGTTTCTGCCTTTGTTATCTTCTATAACCACAATGAGATGTGATGAAATTCCCATTGGAAATCCTCTCTGAGAAAGCTGGAGCAGAGGACTACGAACAGGTTCTGTATTCTCTCTGTGCTATCACACCCTTTAGAAAGAATTGGCATTTAGCAGCATGTGAAAACACAGCTACAGTGCTTGCGAATCACTTCCAAGTCCCAGATACCATTTAACATTCTGACCAGAGAGTCTCCAAAGCCTTCTGCAAAGTAGCATTATTATTAACAATTCAGTTTAGGACAACCTGAGTCACTACTGATGATGCTGACTGAGAAAAATCTCAGCGGAACATGGAAGAAATGCACCCTTTCTAAACAGAGAAATAAGAATCATCCTGCAGTAGGAACAAAAAGAGAATCAGACCCTGCCCAGCAGGATTATTCTGTTTTAATGGCAGCATGCAGACTTCTAAAACATAGCATCCCAGTAATTTCATCCTAATCTCAGCCACCTATGCCTATAGCTGAACTACAGAGGCCCAGCTGTATCAGGTGGTGAGCCCTGGCAAAACACACCGACTTCACTGGGAGCCGTGGTCACCCACGTGGCCATGTTTCACTGCACTGCAGATGGAGGGGCTGCCCACAGCTGGAAGAATGCATCCTTCCCTCCACTGCAGCACTGAGCCCCGTAGATGGCTCCATTCGCATCCTGTTGCGAGAGACACTATGGTGCTTATGTTTCAGCACAGAAAAAAATAACTTTTCTTTTAAATTTTAATTAACCAGAAAAACCATTCTAAAGTCTACCGACTTGGCTGCTAATAGGCTTGAACTGAAGCAGCATCTGAATTTCTGAAGCAGTAAATCCAGCCCTGAGTAACTAAACTGACAGCTCTCATAAAAGAAAGAAAGAAATGCAACTAAGTAAAACATCCTAAGGAAATTATCCTTCAAATTAACTGCAGACATAAATTTATCCATCTGTTATCATATGTGTTACTTGAAAATTATTTGCCCATAAAAATGAAATAAACCAGAGTGATTTTTTTCTTAAACATTGACTTCATGTGTATAGTCTTAGTTGCCAAAATATTAACTCTTTTTAACAGCCCGTGTGCTCTTGGCTACATCTCTGTTTCTTGACTGTAAATGGGCCTTTATTAATCACATGGATATGTCAGAGCTGAAGCTCTTCACTGTTACTATGGATCAATAACACCTAACAGTACATGATGGATTTTCAAAACAAAGAACAAGAACAAAACCTTTTGTTTTATTCAAGTACTCTATTTAACTGCTTCTATTCATTCAGAGAGAAAGATTAACAGGGCTGTTACCTGAAAAATATCATTTAACCACACCAACAATAAATGGGGTTTCTCTGCTAGAGCATAGTTAGTGTGAATACAAGCATGGCAAGATTTCCACATTAAGCCTGAATACGGTAAGCCCTGGCAGGAAAAGAATGAAGTGTATAGGAAGGAGCTAGAGTTGTGCCCCATTTTACCCAAATCCTGTATTTTTCTTGGAGGGGATGAAGAAATGAAAATTGAAAGAATAAATGGCCATTTTCATTTATGTGTTTTATAAAGAAATACATTGGAAGTTTGAGCAGTTCCAATGAATTCAATGTGTGAGTAATGCCACAGGAAGGTAGGAGTGGGAATCTGTTGAGGTCTATTTCTTATTTAAAAAAAAAAACAACAAAAAAACAAACAAACAAACAAACAAAAAAAACCAATACTGAAAAAGCTTAATTTAGAATTAGGACTTCTGTTTTAGTATTTCTGAATGGAACAAAAAAAACTTTCCAACAAAATAAAAACGGTACATATCTCTTTGTGTTTCTAAAAATTGGTCTGATCTCAATTCACTTGGATGTTCCAGCATGTCCCCGTCCCCCACCCACTGCTCTCTCAACCCGAGGCCCTGCATGATGGCCAGGCTGTTGATGGCCATGATGGCCACACTGCCCACGATGCAGCAGTACTCTCAGTTCTTGCTGTATAAAGGAAAAAATAATAATAATAACCCAGAGAAGAAAGAAGGAATTAATTGTGTGAGAATGGCCTGCAGGGATGGAGGGCTTCAGCAAGGAAGAGCAAAGGGATGCTAGAACAAAGCACCCAAAACAAAAAGCTTTCCTCAGCATCAATCCTGCTCTGGTTTTCAGTAAATCCTGCGGCATGCATCTGCCCTGTCCTGTTAGAGTCAGAGCTGGCAGAAAGGAACCGTCCAGTGACAAAGGCTTCCACCACAAAGCCAAAAATGGGCAGCAAAAGAAGAAATGGGCCTTGATTTTTACAAAGCAGCTTTCACACCTGAAGCTGCTCAGGTGCCCTGAGTAGATGCACTCAGCTACAGGTGAGGGGGTGAAAGCCCAAACCACCCATCCATAGCAATAGCTTTCTAAGGAGAGCCATCTATAATGAGTACCCATTTAATTGCATTTCTGTTACCAGTACACACAAATAGCTGCAGGGGTTAGAATCTTTCCACTCTAAGATCCTGCTGTAAGCCAAAGTCTGCAGCAGATGTAGGCACAGAGGAGGGTAAGAAGGCAACAGTGCCATCTATCCTCCAGGCTTCTGTAACTTCCTGCTAGAGGTTTCCTGAACTGGGAATTATATTAGAGCCACCACATTCTGTAATCTCTGATAATCCTAGCTCCATGATTTAGACAACTTTTTTTTTTTTTTATTATTAATCCCTATCCAACTACGAGCCACAGTGATGTGTTTTTCTACTGTAAAACGTAAAATAAAATTGAGCAAAACTTCTCAAACCAAGTATGAGGAAAGCCTGAGATAAAATAGGCTTGGGAAAATGCAGTCTGGATATGCTCAAAGAATAAATACATAAAGATGCATCTATCTGTATTAAATCCTGCAGCCTTTAATCAAAATTCCCACCAAAGTGTGTAGTGAAAGGCAAGTCATTGCCAAACTTCATAGTGAGAGCCATGGGACAAGAAGCAAAGTTCTGTCAAAGATGAGAAATGGTTAGCAAAAGGAGGAAGACAGATCAGTTCTCAGCACAGAAATCTCAAATTGCCTTGAAGTCGGGGCAGCCTGTAAAACCACTAAAGCTGCTCCTTAGCATTCTGCTGAAAGGGGCCTGAGCAGTTATTGTTTATGCTCTTATACCACAGAAACATTAACTTTATTACAGAGGTAAAATAATTAACAGAGAAAGGACAGCTGCGCATGCTGTTACAGAAGTGCTACACACATCTTTGTTCTGCAGACTACAGGGAGAAAGCTAGAACATGCAGAAGGACACATCAGATGCTCCTTAATGATTTAAAAATAGTGGTATTTAGCTACACATATAACTCACACACTTGCACAAGGTTCAGAGACACCCAGTTGAGAGAAATGCACCACCAAGGCAGCAAAATCACCCGTGTAGAAAATGCACAGAAGTCCCAAGGTCTGAAACCCCAGGGCAGGATTCCCAACCCACAAACAAGTCCCTACCATGGCAAGACTTGTGTTCCCATAGCCTCACTCACTCTTCCAAATTCAAAGACCCTTCAAGTACACATCCTATACTCGCTGCCACAAACACAACCACAACACAAACATAACATGAGAAATGAAGAGTTTCATTGGGAAAGGGAATGAATGCAGTGGTGTGAGAAATGTTAACAGCTTCACGTTTCTACCAGGACAACCCAATGAAAAGCTCAGGAACAATCAAATCACAACCTGTCTGAACAAGATTCATTTCCTACACAGCAGGTTTACGCAGACAAAAACCTTCCTGCTTTAAGGATAAATCCCCTAGAAAAAGCTCCCTACAACACCACAAAGAAAATCTCAAAGCATTCAAATCATTTTACTTCCAACCAGAACATCCAAATAAAAGAGCACTTCACACCATACCTGCTCCGAAGGCAAAGAAGAAGCTCTTATCTGTGTTCTCCCGCAAAAGCGCCATCACTCTCTTGCCCATTCTCTCGTTCCTCTTGTAGATGAGCTCCTGCCTGAAGTAGCTGTCTATCTCCTGGGCTGTTACTTGCTCGTGGGGTGGGAGTGTAGTGTTGATGAAGTTTGGGACCTGCAATGGAGAGAACTGAGGCTCAGCTGGCGGCACCTGGCTCTAATGGGCTCATTAAAAGGACAGCTGTGAACAGTTCAGTAATCTCAGAAACGTTGGAGGCTGTAATCCAGTCTTACTTAAACCACCTGTGCATCACTGAAAAAACTCACCACAGTACTGTGGGCTTGTTCTATAATCTTTAATTCTACAAAGAAACAAATCACCCAACAAACAAAAACCTGGCCAACACATGCTTTATTTAGTGTAACTGGCACCTGGCTGTAGCTGGGAAGGGTACAGCAGACTACAACTTTTACTAAACAGAGCATTTTGATTTTACTCTGTTCCTTAAGTAACCTGAGTTTTTAGGTGCCACACCTGAGCAATTTAACAGAACCTTTTCTCTGCATGTCCAATCTTGTTTATTGGCTGATTCATGCCTGAACAAGCCCTGCAATGCATTCTCAACCAAGGTGGTCATGACCTTGAGTAAGGACTGCAAGATTTGGCTTGTACATGCTGCTTCTTAACAATCCAAACAGTTAAACAACTAAGAAAGGTCAGCAAATCCAAAACCAGGAAGATGTAAACAGGATAAAACTCCTTACCTTTTTCTCAGCTTTAGATCTCACTAGAGAAGAACATGAACTCCACAACGTAAAATCCCTGAAATATTCCTAATATTTTGGGGCAGAAAAAGGGAATTCCATACCTGCTGCTCCATCAGTCCCTTTTTTTTTGAAGGAGTGATGTTCATGCACAAAGAAGGATGGTGAAAACCGGAAGGATAGTTAGGATTTTTGCAGTAAGGGGAGCAAGCCCATGAAAAAACTAAGACCGAAGCTGTAAGGGGCAGCCATGCCACAAGTCTTTGATTACTAGAACAGGTGAGCTGTTTTGATGCAGGAGCCTGCAGCATGTTACAGTGGGCAGTACTTGATGACTGCTCACAGGACCCCTCACCTTCGGTGATTTCCTCTGCCTTGCCACTGGAAGGCTGCTTAAGCTGCAAAACTCAAATTCAGATTTCCCAGTCCCCAGGTAAAAGTAAAGCTGCCAGGATTTCCAGCATTAATCTGAGTCAGCAGTAATGGTATTGCACACACAGCCCATGAGGGGAACATCCTTCAAGCAGCGTGATGAAATACTTGATGCAGCAGCGCTGTTGCTTTAATTCTTCCTCTGATTTTCCACTATACCAGATTCCTGAACTCATTTTCTTAAAACTTGCTTTTAGTCATCTTTTTTTCAGCTCACCTCTTACCCTCCCACTTAACTATATGATTTTACCACAGCAGTTTCTGCCTCTTCCCACATTCCTCACTCATATTGTCTCTTCTCTCTAAAAGTTTTCAGCAAGTCTTAGCGAGAGAACTCACTTTCATCTTTCCAGTGGCTCTCCTTAAGGCTTTTCCACTGCAGCCTCAGATGTGCTGGGAGCACAGGGCAACTGAGGTTTCTCACCATGAGCTATTCAGAAGGACAGACTGAAGCCTTGCTGTGGGTTTGCACCAAAGGCTGTACCTGCTGGGTGAGCCAGAAACGGGCACAGCATCTCGTGATGCTCCCATATGGGCAGAGATAATGACAGCACACCATAACTGCATGTTGGGCTGTTGGGCTGCATGGTCCATGTGGATTTTCCAAATGCAATCTGTTTTGCCAAATCACCACACTTCCCCCAGCATGTTGCTCTTTATGATTGGGGTATATTTCCCTAAGTCACTCCTCCTACCAGGCTTTCCAGGCTGGCTTGGCTTCTTCAACGTGTCTTGCAGAGTCCTCAGAGCAAGAGAGTGCTTTGTACCTTGTTCTCATTTTAGCCCTTTGTGAACACTCAGCAAATAATAACAGCCCCATTAGGCCAGACCTACTGGAGACACCAGTTTCCTGTCACTAAACAAGGAAGCCGCCTTTAGCTGCTTTTGTCTTCCAGGGACCAGGAGCAGCCTGCTGGCACTGGAGGGGTAAAATACTGCTGGCTGCAATAGTGAAAGATGTAGGAGCATCCATTCCTGGTACAAAGCAGTGAGGTAGGAATAACAACACATGCAATGCTTCAGGGAAAGCACCGTACAACTTATGAGAACAACCTGCTCCTACCCAAGGCAGGAGCAGCAGTGCTCATGGACAGAATGGCTTTGAGCAGCCCATTTAGGGGACATCTCCATTGCATTGCAGGAGGTTTAGAGCCCAAGCACAGGGATTTTGTTCAGACCTTGACCACAAGGGTCTTTGCCAAGAAGCCAAGCACCCTCCTTTGGCTCACGTAGCTCCATCACTTGCAGTCCTACATCCACACTCAATTCACAATTTGTTTCCCCTCTTTACCAAACCTAAAACAGAATCCACAAAATGCAGCCATTTCCTCACCTTTTTTTCTTTTTTTTTTTTTTTTCCCCCCTCTCTTTTCCCTCTGTGGGAAAGAGTTTGCTAAGGACAGAGAGATAAATTTCAGACCAAGGACTGGATTTTGTCAGCGCTTCTCATACTTGTCCAAAGAACGAGATGAAAGGAGGCATTACCCTTATAGGCACATCACCAGCTACAGATCCCTCTGCACCTTGTGCATTCCTGTGTTTCTAATGACTGCTCAATCACTTGCAAAAAATACAGCGTGTGTGTATGTTTGCGTGTGTGTGTGTGTGGCAGAGGCTGGAAGATAAATGATGGAAGTAAGTACAGCCGTACACAGTAGTGCAACCACACTCTGAGCTACGACACTGGCCCCATTAATCAGTGCTGCTCCTCCCTGTATCCCAGCTCCTTTCCATGGTCGGTGACATACACCATGCGTGGCTTCAAGGAGGCAGCTGCTCCTGTTGATTTAAGAAACCCTTTGGATTCCTAACTACCAGACAGGGATCAGGAAGTCAAGAAACAGTTGCATGCAATTAGGAAGCTGTTAACCACAGTTGGGATTAAATGGGTTGTTTTTTTTTTTTTTGGAGGGGGGAAAATAGAAAAGCTGTTGTATTGAAAGGATGGGCTAAAGAACACGCCAAGGGATGTTTCTTTCTTAGTCCATTTCATCAAATATTTTTTTTTTTTGATTCAGTGTAAAACGTAATTTTTGTATTTATAATATTGGCATTTGTCAATGCCAAAATATTGGCATTTGTTATTTCAAACTGAGTGAGGGATGAAACGTGCTGTGCCAAGGGGCAGCACACCAACCACCTCTGTGATAGTAGCTGTCTATTGCTATTAGTATTCAAATGCATCACAGGATGCATGATTGGAGTGTTGAAAATCCTTGCTTCTTATTTTGCTGTTCACTAAGAAAGCAGTAATGGGGTCAGCAAACAATCACACATCAACTGGGCTTTGCTACCTTTCCAGTGGATGCACATTAAGAAAGATAAGAACAGGTTTCGTGTATAGTCTCCACAAGAAGATGTTTTTTGAGAACAATGCTGTTTCTTTGAGAAACCAATTCGTGTAATGTACATACACCCATATTTCCCATGAAAACTCAGTAATATATTTCATGCAGAGGTATTTAAAAGAAAGAACAATTTGTTTGATTGAATCAGCTGTAACTCTGCCTTTTTTCTATTCATATTTACCTGGCTCTACGGTTACTACAGTTAAGTATAGCTGGACTCTGAATCCAGTCATTAGGTGCCACTCTTGGTATCTTTGGGTATACTCTGCATTTCTTTGTCAAGTTTTTGAAGTGAGAGGACACAAGAACTAAACAAAGTCAAGACCCAAAACCACCCGTCCCCCTGGTCTGTGTAATTTCATTTGAGTCAGCATCCCTGACGGAATATATGTGTGGGTAAAGCTCTGCACACGTTCCAAGCTCACAGTGCTGTGGGATGTGGGCCATAATTCTTCACTTTTGAAGTCAGTAGGAGCTTCAGGAAGAAGAAAGAGGAAGGGTTGTGGAGTGGTTATGACACCACCCTGCAAAAACTGTTCTGTTCTCATGGGTGATACAAATCTTTTGCATGATCACAAGCTTGTCATTTGGGTTTAGGCCTTCAAAGGAAACTCGGCACTTAACATGCACTAAATATCTTTGAAGCATTTGGCATTATTCCTCCTGTCTCTCAGAATCCCATCTGTAAAATGGGGACAGCAAGACCCTCTGACTTGAGAACAGATGTTATCTAGAAGGCACTGGCTGAATCTTGTAGATGAGACCCCAAGGAAGATCCAAAGTCAAAGATGATGCTTAGCAGTAACCTCTCTTCCCACTGATACTTTGTGGAAGGAGACTGGGATTCTGCAGCATAAGAAAGAGCTAACTCCACACTTCACCTTAGAAAAAAAACACATTGGCCATATCACAGGACCAACATTATGCTGTCAGTTTTGTCTACAGAAAGAGGGAAAGAGGGAAGAAAAAAAAAAAAGGAAAAAAAAAGGAAAGGAAAAAAAAAAGAGAAAAGAAAAACGTATCAGTGCAGAGTTGTTTTTTTTTTTTTTTTTATCATAGTTAGGGCGTACTGCAAAGGTCAGCTGAAACTTCATAAACATTGGAGGATATTTAAGATATTTTCTTGTTTATTAATTTTTTAATATTTGTACAAATTTTCAGGGCAAAGGCAAAATGCCAGAGCTGTGAATATCAATCTAAAAATAATTTTTTGGACACATCACATATTAGCACCACCAACTTTGGTTAACACTTTTTCCCCTGCTATGACCCTACTGGCTACAGTGGAACTGCTCTAAATTCAGTACGAAATCACAGTGCCACTGTTCCTATCACTATATGTTACATTTCTGACCATCTCCCATTCTCCAATAACGTTTTTTTAGCCTCATTCTTTTCCTGTGATCCCAGCCTATTCCTGGAATGTGTTTAAGCAATGGCATTGTGTCATCAGAACATCACTGATATCAAAATAAATGGCTATCACTGCCGGTGTGGGCAAAGGTTTTCATACTCAATTCTGAGGGAGATGGACAGGAGGAAGCTCAGGCAGGGAGACGGGCAGCCAACTCTCGCCATGGAGAACAGAGATTTCAGCAGCCCCATGTAGGAGCAGAATGGTTTCACGCAC